TTTTATAATTTTTTTTTATAATTTTTACAATTAACCTCCCTGTGGTTCGACCCCGGTCTTGCCGGGTTATTTATTACTTCGACACTCCTGCACTTGGAAGAAGACATCAATCTTTTAGTCGTGTCACATAGTTATTGGTAAACGAGTTTTTATATCTTTCTAATTTCTAATTGAGTTACGTGGCAGCATGGAGAATTAGTAAAAAAAAATATTTTGGTTAATAAAGAACCCAATAGCGTTAGCTTTACAAAAGGGTTTGCTTCATAATTCTCACATTATATGCGAATTTGGTGAGATTTTCCCTTATTAACTAGTTATCTTCCTCATAAAATTGCTTGAAATAAAAAATTATTATTCCTTTAATGGTTATATGCAGTCTATTAATCAATTTAGGGTATCAACGATTTTAAACATGTCTTGTTGTTTAACCCTACTTTTAGCTTTTTCTTTCTCAAGTTTGGTGATAGTTCAGGTTTGTCCAACCCTTATATTATTGTTTTATAGTAGAGAATTATTAGGCAATAAGATTGAGGTTCCCTTACTATAACACAACTTTGTGAGGCATATAATTACCTAGTAATAAGTTGATAGAATGTAATTATACGAGGCTAGATAATTGGCTTGTTATTATATGTATGCCTAAGAAATGGTTGACATGTCATGAGTTAACATGACTAGATTAGGTTATGTTTGTTGTTGCGTCTAATATACTAGGAAGTACCCTTTTATAGGAGGTATACTCATTCTAAACATCTCTATAAGAGTTCTTATTCTTGCTAGATTTATTGAGATTTCCTCTTATGCATATACTTTGATGTATTGTCATGCCTATTTTGATGAAGTTTGTTGTAACTCAATTTTGGATTCACTAAGATTTTCGAATGTTATTTTATTTGACTATTCATAACAAAAAAAACGAAAAAAAGTAATAATAATAAAAAGAAGTAAAATATATTTTCTCGAGTCAACCACATTTTTCGATAAAAATCGAGTCCACCGGGTCAATACAGGTCCCACCATGTCAACCGGGATGAAAAATGAGTTTCGGGCCATTTCGGGTCAAAACCATTATTTTCGGTCAAAACTGAGTCCACCAAGTTAATACGGGTCTCACCATATCAACCGGGATAAAAAATGAGTTTCAGGCTATTTTTGATCAAAAAACCCGGCCCACTGAGTTGATACCCATATAAAGATTTTTTTGTAATTAAAATTGATTTTTAGCAGTTGAAAAGCTTTTTATAATACTGATTTGAATTTTTAATTTTACACCTATAAATAAATATTATTATTATATATAATAAAACAAAAAAAAAATAATACAATTTTGTCACAGTAGGCGGAGGATTTTTGCCGATGGTAGGCGGTGCAGCTGTACATTGAAAATTTTGCACAATCCGTGATTACTTGCACAATCCGTGATTCGTTGTCCAATGTCATTGGCTATATATCAAGCCAACAAAGAAGAAAAAAAGAAAAGAAAAGAAGAGTAATCTGAATCGAGAGCTTACTATTTGTGTTACTATTTGCAACTGTTCATTTTATTTTCTACTTTTTCTTCACGCGAGTAAAATATTGATTTAATTTTTTTTTTTTTGAAAAATACCAAAAATATCCCAACAGTTAAATTTAATAGTGTTTAAATCTGGGCCTTTGATTTTTTGGATATAATAAGCTTTACCACACCAGATTAAAACTAAAATTCATCTCAGCCTTTAAAATAATCTTCCCTTTGATCCTGTTGTGCCACGTCATCAGGTGTACCAAACACACCATATTATATCCCATCCAGACCGTCCGATCAACTTGCAGATCAAGCCAATCACGGCCGCACGATCAGCTCATCCACGATCCAACGGTTTATAGCGTCCAGACGCACCGGTGCACCATGCGCGCGTTCACACTACAACACAATTTCAGAGCCTAACACGACTAAAAGATTGATGTCTTCTCCAAGTGCAGGAGTGTCGAAGTAATAAATAACCCGGCAAGACCGGGGTTGAACCACAGGGAGGTTCATTGTACAAATTATAACAACAATAATAACAACAACAATAACAATAATAATAATAATAGTAATAACAATAATAATAGTAATAACAATAATAATA